ATGGCAACTTCAGCTCCAGCAAAAGATTCCTGGAACACTGCCCTGTTACATCACCATCAGCCAATCAGAAGAAAGTCACACCTCCTGCAGCCCTCACCCCAAATTTTGTCTATAAAATATTCTCCCCAGAAACTATGGGGGAGTTGAGGTTTTTTTGAGTTCGAGCCCCCATCCTTCCTTGGCCCTGCAATAAACTTTTCTTGGCTCCAAACTCAAAAGCCTCTGTTTGGCCTCAGGGTGCATTGGGCATAAGAACTTTTGTTAGGTAACACCTGAGAAGGCCCACAAGGCCCTGCTTTGTTTCAAAACCACACATAACCATTCTTTCCAGGACAGTGTCATAGAGGTCTTAGAACTTTTGCTTGACACTAAGATTGCTGGGAGATGCTTCTGGAGCATCTATGAGCTGTTCTGTCACTTTCTTATGTCCAACCTCCTCTCTCTGATCACTGCTTGCCCTGTCTCTCCACCTTAGTCCAAGCTCCTTCCAGCTGTAGCAGCAGTGAGCTATGGTAGAGACAAGTCAAATATTCCTTACAAACTTTTAAGACCACATAAATCAGTCAACTATAACTTTATAGATTGGTCCCCAAAAGGTATTAAAAGTGTCTTATCCAATAAGAGCCTGGAGGGAGCAGGTTTTACTAATTCTTGGTTGTTATCTGACAGCAGTTACTTCCCTGCAAACAGGGTTTGAGGGTGAATGTCAGACACAGAGTGCTTAAGGATGAGGAAAGATGAGTCAGGTATTTTGCATCTTTCTAGAGGAAAGGTTCTTCCTCTACTGGAACGCCTTTTAGTATTTTGAACATGTCAAGAAAAAGTTAGGAAGTCCTTCTCCACATTTAAGTACAGCGATTCTCTTGTTGGAGAGTAATTTGCCGGTGGGAGCTGGTGAGGAGCAAGGTGTGTGAAGACTCCTGATTCACTATAACCATTTTGCTGCTCACAGGTAAGAATCTTTGTCTTCAAAAGGACAGAGCCCTGTCAACTTCCAGGGCTTTACAGTCAGGACAGTTGAGAGCTCCTAGTCCTTCGTGAACAAATCCTTTGGAAATGCAGACAATAGAATAGTGGTATTTGTTTTGTTAACCAACATCTATTGTACTTGAGATTTCATCATCACCCCTCACACCCCTGAGATTCTCAAATCTTCCTCTTGTGCAAGACTGTTCCTGGGTTTGGAACAGAAAGGCTGTCAGTGTCCCTGGGATTAGTGTCAGCCCTTCTTCTTCTTCTTTCTCTCTCTCTCTCATGCTGTACTGTGATGCTTAAGGTACATATGCCGGGCTGTCTACATTGCTTATGAAAATATGGAGCCGGGTGAGTCACACCGCCCTAGGAAAGGCTAGTTTTCAGTATGTGACCAGTGCCTCTAAAAGGCCTCGCAGCCAGCTTATGCCTTGGATCCCCTGAAGCTGATATTCTTCACATCTATTTTGGCAGCTTGTGATTTGGATATGAATAGTGTTCTTTGTGACTGAAAAAGGCTCCTGGATTCTGTGCCTGAATGTTGCAGAATACCTGTGTTTTATTTTGTGGGTTTTTCCCTCATGCTGTATTGTAGTTTTGTCTTTGTTGGAATCTTAAGTAAGTGTAACTTGTGAAGTCTCGAGTCC